TTTTTGTGTGTATTTATGACCTTTGTGCCTGCTGCTGGGCAGCCAACCGTGACAAATTTGCAAAGATCTGTGGCTCATTTATTACAGAAGATGAGGCAGATTTTCACTATAAACAGACGCACAATTAAGAGCTGATCAGGCTCTATTCTGTTGCAGTGCTGTTACAGAAGCTGAGGGAGGAATGTATGAATCAAGATGTAACCTTGTAGTGAGGCGCTGAGACTAGGGTGGTCACCTCATCCCTTTAAAACCGAACACAATAATTACACAGAATCTGTATCTGATTAAGGTGGTAATTAAACTCACTTATTGCCTTATTTGCAATAAATCAGCCTCAGAACCTGTGTAATTACATGTGTGTTTGGTTTTAAAGGGATGAGGCGGCAACCCTAGCTGAGACCTGTACATTGTGAATGAGGTACAATGTACAGGCTGTATGGGTTTCAGCACCAATGTGCAAAAAGGCCTTTATTCTGTCGCACAATCTGTCTAACTGTTCCTGTTTAGTATTCCCTTGCTTGTGCAGCAGAATTAAATGGTTTGCCTGGAACTGTTTAAAGCATCATTAAGTGTGGGAGGTCCGTTGAGCACAATGCATGAAAGCTTCACAATAGATAGTTTATGCATTGTACTATGTACTGTATACAGTATCTACCTTTTGAGATTGTCTTTCCTGTATGTACTATGAAAGCTTAAAGTGTTACTAGCCCCAAAAGAGTAAAATCAGTCTATATATGCAGTAAAGCATGCTTGTTATACTCACTGTGGAACCTAACGGGTTAATTCTCCATATTGTGTAAAAAGGCTATTTGATCTTGTCTTCTCTGATCCTCCCCTTCTTCTACTGTCCTCAGTCCATTTGCTGATAGTAAAAGGAGAGAAGCGCCTCTAAGTGCAATAAGTCTTTTAATTCAAGTCTAAATGTAGAAACACTCACATGTGTGAAGTAATCATAAGCATAAAAACCGTGGTTAACAATAGTTAACGGTGGGGTGGTAACCCGGGTGAAGAGCCGTCATCTCTCTGCGATGTGGGGAGGTCAGCTCTCGGCTGGAACAGCGTGGTGGCTGGAGGGGAACAGCGGTGAGGCCGGCCGGCATGCACGTCCTCCCTCAGAGCCGGATGGAACGCACGCTGGAATGTAGCGGCGGTGTGGCTGTGATGATGTCAGATCCCAGGGTGCACTGCGACGCGTTTCGGAGCATGCACTGGCCGTGGAAGGCGGAAGTGCACTCCTTTTTCAAGCAGCTGCCGCTGTTCCCCTCCAGCCACCACGCTGTTCCAGCCAAGAGCTGACCTCCCCACATCGCAGAGAGATGACGGCTCTTCACCCGGGTTACCACCCCACCGTTAACTATTGTTAACCACGGTTTTTATGCTTATGATTACTTCACACATGTGAGTGTTTCTACATTTAGACTTGAATTAAAAGACTTATTGCACTTAGAGGCGCTTTCTCTCCTTTTTCTCATCTACAGAAGTTGCTACAGCTTATTTGGAAGCCTTGCCCTAAGTGCAACACGGAATCCTACGCTCTTCATACAGTAGCCACTAATACCACGATCACCCCATACTACCATTTCCCAGGACTTTGCAGTGTTTGCGCTGTTACAACCCTTCCTCATTTTTCTGAATCATTTGCTGATAGTACAAAGCCCTAGAAGACACTGCACATGCTCTGTTTGGTGTGTATTGTTAGAGAGTTGTTGTTTTGTTTTTTTTGGAGGGTGCATGTGATCAGCACAGGGCCAATCAGCACTGTCTGGAGAGAGGGTCAGGAGTTATGCAATGGACAGTCAGAAGAAAATGAAAACCCCTCCAACAAGCTTTAACCAGTGCTCGGCCAGACACTGATAGAAGTCATAAGACTGCTATATACTGCTGATTTGAAAAGGTATGTAGCAGTATATTTTTCTAAAATAATTGCATTTCCATGTTCTGTGTACTGTGGGAGACCAGATATAGTGAATGAAGAGTCCTGGATTTAGTAATACTTTAAAATACCTCAGAGGGGTTCTTGAAATAATCTGACCTGAAGAAAAAAATGGGCTACCTATGCGAACCTCTCCCTGAAAATGCTATCATCCTGGCTGTTTCCTTTGGCTGATGCATTTTCAGAACAATCATTGCAGTAAGTGGAGTCTGAATGAAATCAGAACCAAAGTGAGTCATAAGCTTGAACAGGTATGACATAGAGTTTGGCTATGGGGGATTAGTGGAAACTATACAACCGTTTACTCACATGTACAATAGGTTTGTGGACACCTGATCATCAAACCTATATGAGCATGTTAGACATCCCCTTCCAAAACCATGGCTATTAATTTTGAATCACCCCTCCATCTCTTTTGAAGTGTGCCATTGGGGATTTGTGCCCATTCAGCCAAAAGAGCATTTGTGAGGTCAGGTACTGATGCTGGATGAGAAGACCTGGCTCACAATCAGCATTCCAATTCATCCCAAAGAAGTTCACTAGGGTTGCAGTCAGGGCTCTGTGTAGGCCATTCAAGTTCATCAACACCAAAATCATCAAACCGTCTCTTTATGGATCTAGGTTTTTTTACAGGGGCACAGTCATGCTGGAACAGAAAAGGATCACCCCCAAAATATTACCACAGTTGGAAGGTACAAGTACACAATTGTCTAAAACAGGGTCTCCAAACTTTCTAAATGTAACACCGTGCTACAAGTGTTCGATGCCGGATGTTAAAGCGAACACAAGATGGAAGTATCCTGCAGAACAGTGACATTCACACTCAGAGCAGCCCCATGGAACTTGTATGCTGAACCGCAGTGAGAAGCAGTGTATCTAGGAACTACATTTCCCAGAGGAGCTGGTGTGGGCGCAAAAGGATATATATACAAAAGCCCTGGAGACTCTGGAGGAAGTGAGAGATCTGGAGAGAGGAGTGTGCTGACTTCCGGAGGACTGGACCAGGCTGTGGAAAGAGAGAGAAGAGCGGCAAGAAGAATCTGCTGATCGCTGACCTTGCCGCATTGTCTAGAAAGCTCATCGGTCAGCAGGCGACTGGACGGAATGCTGCACACGGTACCAGAGAGTACGTAGAGTCCCCATCAGAAGAGAGAGATAGATCGCCAGATGCCATCCCTCAGGTGAGAGAGTCCCAAGCATTGCCAAAAGAAAGGGAACACTGACACTTGCTCCATATTTGCTATTTTCACAGTTGCGGACATTGCACATAGTTATTATAAGTTGCAGCCTAGTTCCCCTAGTCTCTATTGCTTGACCACACTCAACACAGCCTTCTCATCAGAGCTGATAGCAGGACAGCCATTCCACAGACCGAACCACAGCTATGTCACCACCATCATCAATTTACTCTTTTGAAGAGACCTTTTCCTATTGTGCCAATAGTCTTGAAGTCTAGAGACGAGCTGCCCTATCTCAACAGTCACTTCTGCCAGCTTAACATTTTACTGCTTTAGATCTACTAGTAACTAGTGTTTTAAAGGGGCATTACACAAGTCAATTGCTGCTTTCAGAGGGAGTGCTGCTTTTCCCTTTCATTATTGCATTGTTCTTCAGAGAACCATTGTTCACACTTCCTCTCATTGTGCACCAACTGGGCCCCATCACATGCACAGAAGACTCTTCACTGCATTTAAGAGAACATTGGAATATGTTGTACTCGCCAGTTATATTGAATATAAACAATGCTTATCCCAACTTATAGAACCAGGATAACCATACATTTTGAAAAACCGGGACTTTACAAGCAACAAAATTACAACAGAAGAGATATATAAAAACACATTTTATTTATCCAATTTTAAAAACAGAATGAAAAGTACACTCTACATGGCATTGTACAGAGATGGCGATGGTCTGACTGCATATCACCAAAGAGAGAAGCACCAACACGTTTCAATGCATTGAATTTATAATTTGAATCTTCTTCAGGGTGAAACAGTAGAATGCAGCAAACACATTCTATAAGATAATAAAATGTTGATCATAACATCATACACATTTGTTTGTTGGAAAAAAGAAAAAAAGGCACACATATTAAATATATATATAATCAACTCATATCGCCATACGTGTATCACAAATTATAATTAGAAGATCCTTGCTGGTTAATTCACCACATCATATAGGCAAGAATACCCTCAAGTGATCCAATTGGGTGAATGTAATCTAAATGTAATTACAAAAATCTTAAACACTAAATAGTGCACTGGCTTTGCCATATATACTATATATAAGAAAAGGAAAAAAACTTCAACAAATTATCTAGTAGAAACCAATAAAGGGCTGTGATGAGCTGTGCATGTCTAAACATTCCAGCTACAGTGTAATACCTTCAAAACTTGGCACCTACAAAAAAAGGGGGACAAAAACATCAAAATTACCCCTTATTTGGACATACTGAGTAATACAAGTGAAATATACGAGTACAATATGTAATATTAAATGACTCTCTAGTAGGAAAACAGCACCTGAAATAAATGCAAGCAATGGGATCCTCCAATAGGTATATAGTATGTAACAATTCCTGTAGTTGTTCCTCTGTCAAACATCAGAGCATATGTCTCCAAACATGGCCCCTAAAAAACAGAGACAATTGTATACTTGGTGTAACTACTCTCATAAACAGGTACGTCAAGTATATTGTACTGGTTATGGTTATCCTGGTCCTTGAAGAGAACATTGGTTGCTTGGGGTAAAGAGCGCTTTTATTATTCCAGGCTATTTCCCTGCCATCACGTCCTCAGGGCCCAAAGTGAGCTAGACTACCTGTTTGATAGTTCTCGCTGCTCACTGGGACTGTAAAGCCACCTCAGGTTGAAGGTATTGGGTTAGTTTCTGAAAAGCAGGCCTGCTGACACTAGCAGAGACTCTGTGATAAGTGATGTCTTATTTAAAGCTGACACAAGTAATAGCTGACTCTGCACATTCCAATTCTGTTTATGCTTTTTAACCAAGCTACATTGAAGTTTACTATAAACCTCTAACCAGTTTACTCCAATCAGTGTGTGACCAGGGGCGGACTGACCATTTCGAAACTCTGGCACTGCCCGAGGGCCCGGGGTCAGTAGGGGGCCCCATGAGATGCCCCTGGTACCTTTTTCATAGGCTTTTTTCAGTTTGGGAAAGGACACAGGGGCCCCATGATCCCCTATTGCCCGGGGGCCCCATGAGTTGTCAGTCCGCCCCTGTGTGTGAGTTTACTTTCTGGTGGTGATTTATTCCGGTTAAGAGCGTACTGTGGTGTCAGCAGGGGTTGGGCTTTCAGAGAGGGGACCAGAGCAACAGGGAGCCCAAAAATAACCCAGCAACTCATAATGGGGTAGTGCTACATAAACAAAGGGCCAGTTTATTGTCCTCCAGACTTTAGGAGGGCCAGACTGTAACCAGTGGGAGTGGAAATTTTCCTGGCGTCAGTGGAAGTAAACACCACATTTGGTATTATGAAGAGGAATAGTGCCCCATTGATGGTATCATTGGGAGAAATAGTACCCCATTGTTGGTGTTGATTGGCAGAATATTGTCTTGTATCATTGGGAGTATTAGTGCATCAAGAGCCTAATAAAGGCAAGCAAAGGGCTGCATCTGGCCCCCGGGCCACAGTTTGGAGTTCACTGGTCTAAAATGTCTTAGTATGCTGTAGCATTAAAGTATATGTAAACCTTCACCTCGTAAAACAACCCATTCAGTTTAAAATAGAAATGAAAGGCAAAACAATTGTGTATAGATATAAAAAACATTATAAATACCTTTTTTTTTTTTTCCTTTTTTAAAAGTGAGCACTTCTGTTTTCGAAGCTTAAAGTGCTGGGGGGGGAGGAGAAACCGCAACACACTGGCCTTCCCAGTGAATATCTGTGCCGGGGGGGGGGGGGTCAGGACAAGTCTGATCATGGGAGGAGAGCACACTATGTTCCAAGCACAGCTAGAAAACTGACCACTCTGTGCTCTCATGTCTAGTGTGGTCAGTTTTTCATAGAAAAGCAGAGGGACTGGCAGGAATACCAGGGATTTCACACAAGGAAGCAATACAAAGAGAACAGGTTCCTATTTTTCATACAAGCACATGTTACAGCAGGCACATATCAGGAATATGAAATGTTGGGTTTGCATATTCTTCACTGGAAATACCTGAACTCAATGATTTGTAAGGGAAGTAGGTCATACAGTGTAGGAATGATGATCAGGTGTCCACAATTCCTGGCCATACAAAGTAAGATACAAGTTGTCCATTTATAGAAAGATCTTTATTTTGCAAGATCATTTGGGCCGAGCTGTGCATCTCTTTCCGGCTGCAGTCTAATGTTTATAGGCAGTTATTCTTTAGTCCGTCATCTCTCTTTGCTGTAGTCTTGATGAAGAAATGATATCTCTATTGCGATCACTGCTAGGTCAATCAGTCACTGGCAGCCTGGGGAGCAGTGTAATGCGATTCAGATCTCTGCGCACAGCTGCCAAACAAATCTAAAGAAATGGAGAGAGGAAGAAAAGAGAAAAAAGATCCCTCCGCACTTTGCAAACACATCTGGAGGAAAGATTGCAGGGAGGAGGAGGCAGCAAAGTACAGAAAGAGAGAGATTGGAGAAAAGGAGCAGATGGGGCTGAAGAAAACGGTTTACAGAGTGGGTGACAAGATCTGCACACAGGCATGAGATAACACAGCCAGGCCTCTTGTCTGTGGTTGCATCAGATGTGGAACAATGAGCTGAAAGCAATATCGGATATATAGAAAGTATCGCGGTGACTTGACCTACTATCTGCTGGCTGGAAAATGGCATAGTTTATGGGCTTTCCTCCTGTCCTGGCAGCCCAGCAGAGCTCTCTACATGCAGCCACAGAAAATAAGTTGTTTCTTACAGTGGGCCATGCCAAGAATTGAAAAAAGCAGATGTCGCACAGTTATTAAACTGCAGGAAAGAATACTTTAGCAATAAATGTATAAATACATAGACAATCATGAATAAGAAAAAAACTTGGAGGTGGGACAGTTATCAGAATAGGTCATTTAAGGATTACAGTCTAGCCCCTCTATGAAAAAGGTTGTAAATCTATTTGCTGACAGGTTTTTATGGGTATGGATAGAGTGACTCATTTATATCGTATCGGTGGCCAAATACCTGATTCTTGGGTCAAACAGTAATTCTAATGGCACATGGGTAGCTTGAAACTGTCACAATAATAAAGCAGACATTAACGCATTATAGATGGTCACCTCCACCTTCCTTTTCCTCTTTTTTCTGCTGACTACCATAAGATTCTTTGGGATTCCTCAAATATTTCTAAGCTGGCAGTACTGGGGGTGTAAGGAACCGCCTGGTGGTACCTCTAGCAGCCCACTGAGCGTGGAATCTAAGTCCCGGTCCGCTTGTTCACCAGGGCCCCTGATGGTGGGGATGGACTTGGAGCGAACCGAGACCAGGTCGCGGCTCCTGAGTACACCTACCCGCGGTAGAGGGATCTGCCAGAGGTTTCTGCAGGGTGAGAGCCTGATGTGAAGAGGCGGATATGCCAGAGCAAGGTAGATGGATGGATGAGCAGGAGCGTGGTCAGACAAGCCGAGTCGGTAGCCGTGGGAGCAGTGCGGTACAAAGCAGCGGGCAGAGAATGGTCGGGTCACACGCCAGGTCAGCAACAGAAGATCAGATCCAATAGGGGGCATCCAGGAGGTAGGTCAGGCAAGCCAGGGGTCAGAGCAGGAGAGTACAGCAAAGTCAGGAACAATCCGGGTCAGCAACAATCAAGAATCACGGTATACAGGATCAGGGAACACAGGGAGAGCAAACAGCAATTCATGTCAGCGCAGGGCGATTGAAATACCGTGCCCTGCGCTGTCATTAATGCCAGGCACGCACCCGCGGCTCCGAGTGCGCATGCGCGGGTTCCGTCTCCGCCGCGGCCGGCCAGGACCTAGTGCCCGTACACTAGCGTGAACAGGCACAGTGCGCCTGAACCGAGCCGTGTATCGTGGCGGCTCCTGACAGGGGGTGGCATGTCTTGGAGAGGAGTTACGTTTTCAGCCTTAGAGTTCGGGGACATTACTCCCCCAAGTCCAAAAGAACTGTACCTGCAGGCACCACAAGGTGGTTAGATAGTTTATACACCTTGGAGGAAGGTTCACTTTAACATGGTAGTATCATCCTCATACAGGCACAAAGAGCTTAAGGAGACCATGAACACACATTAAAACAAAGCACTTTAACTGAACACTGCCGAAAATGTTAGGTAGCATTACATTTAGTTCTTAGGTGTGGAAACCTCTCAGTGCAGCGGTTTTAGCAGACTGGATGATGAAATGTTAAAGCCATCCTATACTCAGCAAACACAATTATTTTAACAGCTCTATTCAATTATACAGGTATATCAGGTGTCAGGAAACTAGTGCAGCTAATGCGAATTCTTCTGCAGCTAATGCTAACTCCTGTGCAGCTAATGCTAATTCCCGTGTGGCTAATGCTTGTTCATGTGTACCAGCACAGACAAGCCCAGCGTGCACTGACACATAGGCACATTTCTATGCGCCATCGCGCATCGGCGTGCATGTCTTCCCACATTGGTGCCAAGCTGCCTATTTAAAGGAGACTGCTGGATGTTCTTCAGCTCCCTGTGACCCGTGTTCCTGTGTTCCTGCTTGTACGGACTGATCTTCTGTTGCTGGCCCGACTTACTCCTGACCTTGCTTGGTGGATTCCGGATTTTGGCCTCGGCTTGCCTTAGACTACTCTCTGCCTGATCTCCTGGTGCTGACCTTGGCTTACCTCTGACTATTCTCTGTCTGATCTCCTGGTGCTGACTGAAGCTTGCTACTAGACCTCACTCTGCTTGCTAACCTGGTACTGACCCCAGCCTGCCTCCTGACCACGCTGCTGTCTCATTGTGTATGACCCTGGCTCACCTTGACTACATCCCTGACCGCGGTAATCACCTGCTATCAAGCTATTGGCACCTGTGCTTCTTTGAGCCTTGTACCTCTGTCACCACATTCAGGGGTGCTCGGACCAAAGCTGCAAGGGAAGCCCTCTTGTCAACTCGACCTTCAACCAAGGTATGTGGCAATATGCTAACAGAAGGTGAGACAAATTTACCTTTTCTGGAAAAACTTGGAATGAGGGCTCCTTCCAGCAGCCAGTCCAGTGACCAATGGCCCACCAAAGGTCACATGGTTTCTGCCAACTGGGTGCATCAGTGTTCACACAGAGCCCATGGTGGGCCACTAAGGGAGACCATGTGATCAGTGCAGTGACATTATTCACATTCCCCTCCCTATTAGATTGTAAGCTCCCAAGGGGCAGGGCCTTCCTAACCCTCTCCTTTTGAACTGTATTGTTGCTGTATTGTCTCCCTTTATATTGTAAAGCGCTGAGCAAACTGCTGGCTCTATATAAATCCTGTATAATAATAATAATGACCGGCTGAAATAAGCCCTGATTCTTAGTGGTGATGGGGATAAGAATCATCTAGAGCAGTGGTTCTCAACCTTCCTAATGCCGCGACCCTTTAATACAGTTCCTCATGTTATGGTGACCCCCCCAACCATAAAATTCTTTACCCAGTAATTATAATTCATGTGTCGGTTTACCTTCAATATGGCTGCTTTCAACACAGTAGCTGCTTTCAACACAGTAGCTGCTTTCAACACAGTAGCTGCTTTCAACACAGCAGCTGCTTTCTACACAGTAGCTGCTCTGTACACATCGGAAATATGTGTTTTCCGATGGTCTTAGGCGACCCCTGTGAAAGGGTCATTTGACCCCCAAAGGGGTTGAGAACCACTGATCTAGTCTATATAGAGTAGTTGTCCTGAAACACAGCAGAGAAGGTTTACAAACTGTCCTTTACAAGTGAATTTTACATCAAATATTCTTATAGAGAAGCCATCTATTATGCTTCCCAATAATAAATGGCTTTTCCATAGAAATTAATGTGAATGTGAATGCACAGGAGAAGCAAGGGACTTACTAGAATGTTTGCAGCAGCGACTGTGTGGTTCCTTGTGGGCTTCACAGCGTGGATCTCCTAGGAACATGGACAGGTGAATATGAGACTCTGGGGGGGGAATGCCGGGGAGAGAGGTATTTGCAAGATAATTTTACAAAAGTATAGTTATCCTTCAAGGTAAAGTGCTGTGTCTCCTATGTAAACTATATCACTTCACTACAAGGTCCTTGCAGGCTGCAGTGTCAAATTTACTTGTCGTG